AATTATTCCAGAACTCTTCACTTTAGCCTCGGGCAAACTTTTCAGACAAGGGTAAAAAGCAACAATTTTCTTTACAAAAATATCACAAGAATGATCTCCAGGAAATATACTAATATTCTTCTCTTTGAGCCAGCTCCACACAGTTCATAACATTTTCAGCACCACTGTCTTCCATTTTCCTACTAGTATTTCTCATTAAGCAGTGCTTAAACCATTCTACTGCTTTCCTAACCCAAAGTACCAGATTCCTCCAAACAAAAATGTGATCAGGCCCATTATAGAAATAAGCCAGTCTCTGGTACCAGCTTCTGTCTTAGAGTTTCTGTTGCTGTGAAGAGAAAGCATGACCACACCAAGTCTTATGATGGAAAATCATTTAATTGGGGCGGCTTACATTTTCAGAGGTTTAGTTCATTAACATCATACTGCAACATGGTGTCATGCAGGCAGACATAATAATGGAGGAGCTGAGAGTAGAGCTTGATTCAGAGGCAACAGGAAGGGGATAGAGACACTGGGCAGGTACAATGAGCATATATGAGACCTCAAAGCCCACCTCCACAGTGACACATTTCCTCCAACCAGGCCATAACTACTCCAACAAAGCCACACCTCTCAATTACTGTGATTCCCTGTGAGTTTATGGGTTCAATTACATCCAAACTACTACACCAGTCCTATTTGCTTTTGGGTCTCTGTGCTGTCCAGCCTTTAGTTCCTGGCCATCGAAGCTGTCTCAGGCTTGGGTTCACTCTCTAATGGCATGGGTCTCAAGTTAGAGCTGTCATTGTTTGGCCATTCCAAAAATTATGCACTACCATTACCCAAGCATACCTTGGAGGCAGAACAGAGTATAAATTGAAGGTCTGGTGTCTGGGATGGGTGGGTTTCATCCATGGGTGGGATGAAAGGCATGCCTGGTTATAGAACATGGCCAGTGTAAGATAGCTTCCCAGAGAAAATAGTTTCTTTAACACCAAGAACATGCATTCAAAATCTAATTCCACTCTATATTGTTGAGTTTTGAAAAAGTTAATTCATTTGTTCTAAACTTATTTCTTTATATGTACTAAGGATGCTGAGCCCGGTAATACATTCCCATGATACAATCTTAAGCAGTAATCTATTCCTAGTTATCTTTCATATTATGTCAGACATTTCTAATAAATATTGAATATATAAATAGTAATATTTGTGTAGTATAACATAGCATGCATTTGTATTGTTCACATAATAAACTTAGAAATTTCTATGGACCCTGATCTTTGAGCTATACATTCATTTTTACTCTAAATATATTTTAAGATTTATCTTTTAGTTTTATAAAGTGTGTAAACATTCTCTACATCACAAGTTCTTTTAAAGTGCTTCTGCCACAGCTGTTTATGGTGATATTTTATTTGTACTGAAATGTGATTTTAATTTTATGTTAATAAATAAAGTTGCCCTGGGGTCAGAGCTATTAGAGCCATAGCAAGAGTGTGGTGGTTAGAAGAGCTAGGTAGATTTCTGTGTGTTCAGGGATACAGCCAGTATTGGAGACATACGCCTTTAAGACCTGGAGGGCGATACTTACAGGCAGTGACAAGGCAGTCATGTGTTTGGGTTTACAACCAATGAGAAGACAGAACAGAAAGACTATTTAAACACAGACAAACAGGAAGTAGCTCTCTCTCGGGGAAGCTAGGAGCACTGCAGGAGGTAAGATTTTATCTCTGAGCTCTGACCTCTCGGCTTTCTCTTTAACATTGACTCTGTGTTTCTTATTTTAAAAAGACGATTGGTTACATCTACAGCTGTTGAAAGAGATTTCCTCAATAAAAGAGCAGAAAGTGCAGAAGATATCCGGGAGAGGAGCAAAATGTGAGAACTGAGAAAAAGAGTTAATCTTAGGAATTGCTGTATATAGATTTGATTTACAGATGAAGAGGGTCATTTGATAGTATGCTATAGCATAGGTATGGCTGACCAAAATTTTGTTAATGTAGGTAATTGTGGTTAGTTATTTCATGATGTGAATTAAAAGTTTTTGGTATTTTCTTTTTATTTATTTATTTATTTATTTATTTATTTATTTATTTATTTATTTTGGTTTTTCAAGACAGGGTTTCTCTGTGCAGCTTTGCACTTTTCCTGGAACTCACTCTGTAGTCCAGGCTGGCCTCGAACTCACAGAGATCTGCCTGCCTCTGCTTCCTGAGTGCTGGGGTTAAAGGCATGTGCCACCACCAACCAGCTAGTATTTTCATAATTAAAGGAACACACTGAATTTATCTGTTTGCAGTCTTGAAATGAGTGCTTCTTTGAGGCAGTATGCTTCTAACACTTATGGCAAAACAAATACATAGAAACTTACAGTTTATAAAGGAATGAAGTACATGTATTTTCAACATTTCTTTCACTGTAAGCTAGATGCTCATTATATGAATGACCTTCTTCCAGTATTTGTGTTTGTAGTCTTAACCTTTTACACAATTTGAATAGAAAGTCTGATTTGAGCCTCATTGCTTCTTGTTTGAAGTGCTTGTACTCTAGAAAAGTACAATAACTATACAACTTGTTAGTCAAGAATTCAATAGAAGATACAGGAATGATTTGAACTATATGTCAAGAAAAATTAAATCTTTAGGGAAATTTGTACCATTTTGAAAATTAGCATTTTCTTTTTTTTTTTTTTTTTTTTGGTTTTTTCGAGACAGGGTTTCTCTGCGTAGCTTTGCGCCTTTCCTGGAGCTCACTTGGTAGCCCAGGCTGGCCTCGAACTCACAGCGATCCGCCTGGCTCTGCCTCGCGAGTGCTGGGATTAAAGGCGTGCGCCACCACCGCCCGGCTCTAGCATTTTCAAAGAAAACTAGATATTAATTTATTAATTTAGCATTCAAGTTTTCAAGTCTACAACTTTTTTTCACAATTTTTATGCTACATTATGTGACCTTTAGTACTTACCTCTGAGAGGCTTGTGATAAGAAAAATAAATGAACAACTTGTTTTCAAATGTTAGCTCATAAAAATTGAGAATATGCCATAGGTTTAACCTTGTATGCATACTAATTCATTTACTTTTCTCTATATTAGAAATTATTCTAAATTTTTTAATATAATGTTTTAAGGATAACATATATTGCTATAAATTGTAATAAACACTTGTTTAAATATTATGTTTCGATTGACTCGTCAAACATGTCCAATTATTTATAAAAGAATTATTTGAATTTTCAGGTATTTCCAAAGAGATTTGATGGCATTTATTTTAAAACTGCCTCCCTTAAAGTTATCTTTTTCTGTACTAAAACTTTTACATTCTAGAACAGCTTCCCCTGTGATTACTTTATTGAAGTATTCAGAAATTATAAATTGATAAACTGACAAGTATTTGTGTACATCTTGCCCATTCTATGGTGACCACTGTTAACCAGTTAAGGTTTTATTTCAATGTCTAGCATATGGGAGCAATTTTGTTGTGTCATATGTCAGTAAATGGAACTTTACAATGATTTGTGTGATCAGGTTGACTAGATCAAGATCTACTTCCTCCCTCAGCACTCCATAGACAACCTAAAAGTTTAGAACACATTGATGAAAATGACCTTCCTCAACAGAAGATTCATATCCAGAAGGATATAGGTGTAGATGTAACGGTCTTATTAAATAAGAAACACAGAGCCAAATGCAGAATTAAAAGCCCAAGAGGTCAGAGCAGTAGCTAAGAGCTGATACTAAAACCACCTTCTTATCCCTCGCTGCTGTTGCCATCCTTCCCCTCAGAAAAAGACCTACTTCCTTTGTGTCTGTCTTTTTATTGACTTTCTGTTCTGCCTTCTCATTGGTTGTAAACCCAACCACATGACCTCCTCCTCACTGCCTGTCTATATAGACCTCCAGGTCTTCTATGGTTGATGTTGTGATTAAAGGCATGTGTCTCCATGATGGTTATGCCCTTGAACACATAGACTCTGCCTCCGGAGTGCAGGGAATAAAGGTGTGCACCACCACCACCTGACTTCTGCTATGGCTTGCTAACCTCTAACCCCCAGGCAACTTTATTTGTTAACATACAAATAAAATCACGCAGGCTAGTGGTGATGCATGCCTTTAATCCCAGCACTCGGGAGGCAGAGGCAGGCTGATCTCTGTGAGTTCAAGGCCAGCCTGGTCTACAGAGCAAGATCCAGGAAAGGCACAAAGCTACACAGAGAAACTCTGTCTTGAAAAACCAAAAATATATATATATATATATACCATATATAGGAGTAGCTGCATTTGTTTCAGGCTATTCTATTGCATATTGAAAATGTTAGATATTTGTACCAGGATTATGACAATACATGTACATAGTGTAATATACCATGTTATAGTATTATTCTTATGATAAACTATTAATATTTATATAATTTAATCACTGTTTTTATCTAGAATATTACTATAATGTACTTGAATCACCAACTGATAATTGTGTGAAATAAAGCATATGTTTAGTTATAAAGACATCTATAGGAAAATTTTATTAAAACAATAATAACAATTCTACTGAACCACTGTCATACTAGTGTCCATTGAGTTTTGGCACTTATCTTTATTTTCCTCACCAGAATTTGGATATAGAGTACTGTAGATAAAACATACTGTTTTTTGCATACTATGTTTCTAGTAGGAGGGTATACTGTATTTTCCTTTCACAGTCAATGAGATCAGAAATGTACTTATTTCTTGCAAAATATTGAGCTCCTAAAAACTGGGTAAAAGCTCATAGCCATTAGCTAACAGAGCAATTAATTGTTTGCTGAAAGTTCAACATATTCAAATAGGCTTAGTCAAATCCCAGGCATGCAAACTACAGAAGATAAAATTAATGGATTTAAATCTTGTTTACATTAACATACATTTTGTGAATGAAGTTGAGATTATAATATAATATAATATAATTTATATATTATAATATATAATATGTTGGGAAGAAGAGAAAATATATATTGTTTAACTTTATACAAATCTCTTTTTAGCTTTCATTCCTGGACTAAAGAAAGGTACAGTAGAGACAAATACAAAACTTCACTAAAATGCATGTTTCATTTCAAAATGAATTGTTTGTATTTGTTTAAAGAAATTTTTATTCACTTCTCATAAACCATTATAATTTTAACTGCTTGCTTCAGATATTAAAAATGAACTGATATCTAAAAGAATATTTATTAAGTCTGTTATGTTGACTACTTTAATAATTTTTTCCAATATTTTGTCAATTTTTATGTAACAAAATTAATATAGTCATGTAGTTATTTACTTGACTTACAATAGTTGTTTTCAAATTACCTATGGATTTAATTATTTATTTCTTCATCTGACCAGGTGAATATTTTCAATATTTAAGTGAATACAAAATATAGAATTTTAGCTTTAAGCATTTCTTTTCTAAATTGACCTATAATTTTTTCATGCTGTACACATGATTAACAAAATAGTCTAAATTTTCCATTCTTGTAAGTGTATGTAAGGTATACTTTTATCAATATTTATGGTATAGATTATTTGTAAAGCTCCACTAAGATAAGGATAAGAAACAACCAACATTTTTAAACATGAAATTTAAGCAACCAGTTAAAAGGTATATAATTTTAATTTTTTTGTTCATAGAATTTAAAAATGGTATTGGATAATCTGAATGTCTCACATATATTTATGCTCATTTTCATTTCATATTTGAAAATGGTTTTCCTGTGGTCCAAAACCTATAATTGATTTTGCTTTAAAAGTTTTAAAACTGTAATCAATAATGCACTGATATTTTGAGCAAACAGAAACCCTATCTTGAAAAACTCAAAAGAAAAAAAAACTTGTCTTATGACCAACCTCATGTCCAGAAACCTTATTCTGGTACTCAATTTCTTTCTCTGCAATAAGGTATTATTTTCTGCATATGGAAATATGTCATAATTGTCTTTCTGTGCCTGACCTATTTTACTCAACAATGTGTCTTGACAAACTCTTCACAGAGGTATAGTGGAATGAGAATTTGAATATAAGTCAGGACCACATGGATTCTGGTGATAGTATTATGCCTGACTAAATCAGTACACTCAGTAAAGTCATTTAACATTAGAGAACCTATGTTTATCCATTTCCTTTCTTTGCTTTTTTCCTTCCCTTCTGTCTCCTTTTCTTTCCCTCTCTTGCCTTCTTTCCCTCATAGCCCAGGCTGGCCTTGAACACAATATAGACCTCAGCTTTACCTAAAACTTCTGAAGGTGCTGAGAGTTCAGGCATATGCTATAACACCTTATTCATGTAGTGCTAAAGATTGAAACCAGGGCTTGGTGTATACTGGACAAGAACTCAACCAACTGAACTGATTCCCCAGATTCATTTTTTTTTATTTTAAATGTTGTAGTAACCATATGTCCCTGAAATACAATAATATAGTTAAAGCACATAAAACTTGACACTATTTAGTATCTTTGTATGTAATTAATTATGTATATTGTACAGCAAGCATTTGCTATTCTTGCCACACTTTCAAGTGTTTATTTTTTATGAGCTAGAAACTGAGGCAACATAAGTTGAACAATGTAGGACTTAAAGTCATAAAATTCAAAGTTTTATTCCTGCATATGACAATACCAATACTTAGAATTTTAAAACTTTTGTCAGTACACTATTGAGCATTAGCTGCAACTAAATTAATTCTTCAAATATTGTATGATTAAATACTATATATTTAGTATGTTCATTATATAGTTGGACATTAACTACATACCATGTTCAAAAGCCACAGTATCTTTTATTCTTGTTTGTAAAGTAATAGAATGTCATCTGGTTTGATTAAGTGTAGCCATTTTTTTTTGCTGTCTTTAGTAATAATTCAGTTACTTCAGATGGTTTTTGGTACATTTTTGTGTTGTTCCTGCAGATAACCTATATATTTTGGGTCTCAGTCATTGCTGAAGTGTTTCTTATACATCATTTAAGACTAATCTGTAATTAATTCTCATGTGAAATGCTAAATTTGAGTCAACGATTCTTATTAAACAACAAGAATATGGGGAAAATATAAATTGAATTTAGGAGCAACTAGAAAATTAATTTTCTCTCAGCTACCTGAATTGGCTCACCTACTAAACACTTCATTGCTATGACTGTGTAAACACAAAATGTAATCCATCTCTATGAAGGGTAGGCATGTCCCTTCATAGAGTATCACTTTTTCATATGTAGGCATTAATGCAAATATGTGTGCATAATTTTTAAGTTACTAATTTATAATATGGGCCATATAATTAATCCCTTCCAACTAATTTAGAATCCTCCAATATTATCATACCACAAGACCAAATCAACTGAAATTTTGTTAGCTTTGTTTTTGGTTACTTATAGTGGACATACAATGTCATAGAAAAATATTTGCAGAAGAAATTAAGTCTTATAAAACATTAGAATTTGGGTATTTTAATATCTAATATAGTTTTCCTTAGGTAATATATGACAAGATAATTCTGCCATATTCATTTTATATTATATATTAACCGAGAGCTAGAAAAAATGTGTCTCCTAATAAAATTGTGTTGCACTTATTAAAGGCGAAAATATCTGTTATTATTTACTATTATCATTCTGATAAAACTTTTAGTGGGGCATTGAATAACAATATAACCAGTTAAAAGAAAATGTTTTATTCAAACTTCATAGTTTGAATTTGTATCTTTAACTTTTAAAAACATGGATGTAGATTAATAGCAATAAATAGCATTACTAATTGACACCTGCATAATAGCACAATTTAAATGAGCCATAAACATTGTGAAAGTTCTAAATATTCCTACAAAATGTTTAAATATCCTAAAAGCATACACACACACACACACACACACACACACACCATAAATTATTAATATATAAGGAACTTTGTCTTCAGGTAAAGTGTAGCTGTACATTTCTCTGGTCTCACCCAGCCCCCAGTTCCATGTTTCTCCAGTCCCACCCGGCCTTGTGCTCCCATAGCTGCTTATAAAATAATCACTCAGAGGCTAATTATTAATTGCAAAGTATATGGCTTGTTGGTCAGGCTTCTTGGTAACTAGCTCTTATAACTTAACCCATTTCTATTAGTCTATATGTTGCCATGTGGCCGTGGCATTACCAGTCTGCTGGCATCTTGTTCCTCCTTGGGTGGCAGCTGGCATCTGTCCTGGCTCCACCCTTCTTTGTCTCATCTTCAGTTTGAATATACTGCCTAACCTTATTCTGCCTCACCATTGACCAAATAGCTTTATTTATTAACCAATCAGAGCAACGCATATACACAGCATACAGAAATCCATCCCACAGCAGTAAAGTTTTGATTTAAGACCTGTAGCCAAAGAGTATTGAAATTTAGATTATGTACTGTTATATACTTTCTCAACACATTCATATGGAAATATAATGAGACCTATTTTAAATTGTTTAGTGGTTGAACTATTAAAGTTAAAAGACCTAAGTAGTGGTGGTGCATGCCTTTAATCCCAGCACTTAGAAGACAGAGGCAGGCAGACCTCTGTAAATTTGAGGCCAGCCTGGTCTGCATAGCAAATTCTAGGACAGCCAAAGCTGTTACACAGAGAAATTCTGTCTCACAAAAAAGTAAAAAGAAATAGACAAAATTATTTTTTGTAAAATATTTAACAAAATGTATCCCAAATGTTACCAACCTAACACATAACTAATTTAAAAATTATAAATGGGAGATGTTTCCATTCTTTCTCACAGTACATATTGCAAGTAAGTATGTGACTTATGAATAGAAACTTTTCAATTCTAGTCAGTCATATTTTGTGTTAGAATAGACATTTGTGGCTAATGGACACTAAATTAGTTTTGCATCTTTCTAATGGACTAAAGATTATCCTTTGTGTTTGAGCTTGGCACACACTGTTTTAATATTAATCAAGGAAGAACAAATGAATAAACAACCTTAAAACTCCTGAATATGTATTTATCTTTTGAGACCATCACTTTCCCAGACTGTCATAATACAATAAAATACACTAAAATAAAATAAAATACTTGGGATAAGTACAATGCCCTCTCCGCCCCCGCCACATACCTGTCTGTCTGTCAATCAAAAATGAAAATAATGGCTAAAGAGATGTCTTAGCAAATAAAAATGCTTGCTATCAAGTTTGACTTACTGAGTTCAATTCCTGGCACTTACATTGTAGAAAGAGAGGACTCCTGCAAGATATCCTATGATCTCCATACATGCACCATAGACACCCTATTCTATTTGTATCACTGTCAAAATTGGATTTAGAAAATCAAAATATTTCTTTTCCCTAGATGATAGAAAATAAACTTAGTGATGTGATATAACATAACATTTATCTTTTGTTAAAAATGTTCATTTTTAAGGATAATAAATAAAAGCAAATCTCTTAAATAGATTCTCAAGTGTCTCAGTTAGGATTTCTATTGTTGCAAAGAAACATCATGACTATAAAGCACGTTGGGGAAGAAAGGGTTATTTAGCTTACACTTCCACAGTGCTATTTACCACTGAAGGAAGTCAGGATAAGAACTCAAACAGGGCAGAATCCTGGAGGCAGGAACTGATGCAGAGGGCGTGGAGGGGAGCTGCTTACTAGTTTGCTTTCCATGGTTTGCTTTCTTGTAGAACCCAGGACCACCAGCCCAGGGAGGGCACCACCCACTATGGACTGTGCCTTCCACCATTGATCACTAACTAATTTAGAAAATGCCTTACAGCTCGATCTCATGGAGGCATTTCTTCAATTGAGGCTCCTTTCTCTCTGATGATTCTAGCTTGTATCAAGTTAACAAAGAAAAACAGCCAGTAAAGCAATTAATTATTTTGTAGATACATATTTGTGGTGCTCTTGTTCAGGAGATGAATTTTCTGGAACTATTAGCAATAATATTATAAAATGCCTTCTGTCTGAGACTGCTTAAAATATTTATTTCATCATTTAATAATTACTTATCAATGTTACAAAATAACTTAATTAAAAGCAAGAAATATCTTACAAAATGAAGA